TATTTGTGTGTGTGTGTGTGTGTGTGTGTGTGTGTCTGTGTTCGTGTGTGAGATGAATGTACTCTTCAGAAAAGAACGGTGTGTGTGTTTGTCTGTGTGTGTCTGTGTGTCTGTGTGTGCGTGTGTGCGTGCGTCTATATATATATATACCACAGAAATTTTATAGATTTACATATCCGACACCTTAAATTTGATTTTTACATTCATAACAAGTTGATGCTATCGCTCTATGCATAAAAAGGTGCATTTGACATTCAAAAAGTTAGTAAAGTTAGTATGTTTTGAAGTAATGTTAATGATTTAAGTTCTATGACGTAAAGACTAAAATTTCAGATGTTAGATATGTAAACACATAAGTATTGTGAGGTATGTATGTAAATTTTATTTTAATTCTAATGCATTTACATACATAGCATCATGCACTACAATCTCAATAAGATCGAAATAAGAGAGCTGGCTATGAGTCAATTATGATGAATTGAATTTTTTTAAGTCAATTTCGAGAGATATATAGATCAGTTCAAGATCAGCTCAAATTATTTTTATCTTACGAGCTAAGAGCCTCAAATTGGAACACATCCAAATTAACACAATCTGAGCCATCCATCTTGTTTCAATATGATCCAGCAAATTTCTAGCTGTGATGGATCCAAATAACTCAAATGTGAGCCAGCTCGTTTCGATTTCGATCCGTATCAAGCTCGATTTAATTTCGAGCCGAGCTGGCTTGAAATCCAAATAACTCTTCTTTCTAAAGAGTTTTTTTTTCTCTCACTACCATTCATTAGCAACACTTAATCTATTTATGTTTCACTTCCATGGCCAAAATTAGGATTTACCTAGCTATCATCAATGCCAATTATGACTTTGGTGTATTGTCTCATTTTACCTTTAGGTTATGTTATATCCATCCTATGAGAAAGAATCACCCTAATTGCCATAATCACTTGTATATCCTTCATGCACTATGTTAACTTTAAGGGAGAGTTAATCCATTAGTTTTTAATCATTTTCATATGCCATATTTATCTTCACCATCAAGCCATGCTATTTTTACCTTTTAAGGGAGGGTTGATTCAACTATCTTAAGTTGCATCTATTACCCTTTTAAATAGCTTTGATCCTACCTTTGGGTTATATTATCTCGGTCTCTAAATTATGCTTTAATGACCGATTAATTTTATCATGTCTCTCCAATTATGTTTTGTCATTTTTTTGATTTATTTGAATTCAATTATCTCCGCTTTTATGTTATCTTTCATTAATCACTTATTTGTTTTATTTTCACACTACAAAATTACTTAAATTCTCAACTAACCAGTCACAATGTATAAAACATCTAATTACATTAAAGTCAATCCATAAAATAAGTAATACTGTGGTCTAAATATACAAGTAATCATTGAAATATGTAAGAAACTCTCAAGTTGGCTACTAAGCAACAATATTTTATTGGCATGCATACCCTTTAATGTTGCATCACATTCAAAATTTAATTCAATTAACGAAAAGGAAAAGTAAACGAAAACAAAATACATACCTAACCACTTTGTTATTAAATCAATGATTATGTAATAATAATCCTAAATCAATTATTAAAATCGATCGAGCAATTGAACAAGAGTAAACTTATCCAGAGGCTGGCTAAACTAGAGTTGACTGACTCAGAGATGCCTCGAGGAAAAGACAGACCGACAATAAGATGATCTGCCAAATATTCAATGACTGCACGACATGAAACCAATAGATTGGAGGAGAACATACGAATTATGTTCCTATGTGAACCGAAAAACCAACAAAAGAACACTAGGGCACAAATAAAACTAAGAAATACTTCGTATGTTTTTTTCAATCCCATACGATGTTGAACAAAAAAATCGAATAGAACTGCATTGTTTTTTTCCGTTAAAATAGAGCTTTACTACAATAAGATGCATTTACCATAATCTCCAAAGTTGTTATTTTCATCATGATTATACACAAGAAAAAAATTTTGAAGAAGCCAAAAAGTTCCCTTTGAAGCAATTTTTTTAGGAAGAGGTGTAAAGTCTGTTTGGGGCAGCTTGTGCGATTCAGGATAAACAACTTATCCTGAAACGCAACCCACAGATCGACTACGGGGGTTGGCCCACAGTGAATTACCAATAAATTCACAAGAACCTTGCATCTCAGCGCCGGTGGAGGAACGCAAGGGCACGGGGCAAGGGCAGAATAGCGAAGGGGCTCACATTGCGTTTACGATTCTACAGTAATCCGAAACTAGATTTTAGACCGGGTTTGTGAAACGCACAGACCGAACCAAAATGAAAATGAGTTTGGGAGTAAAGCTAATTTTAAAAGCTTAAACAAACCGTACTGTTAATAAATAAATAAATAAAAAAGGACTTGGGTACTTGAGAGGAGATTTAGACAAGCCATTTGGGCATAGATCCCCATATGGTACATCAACATCTGTTGACTTTCCAATCAATTGTTAGATTTAAGGAAGCTTTTACACACCTACCTCTCAATTCTTATGTATTTACATATAGCTTCAATTTTTACATATATACCATTTATTCATGCATGACGAAGTGCATTTCACTTTTTATAAATCAAAATAGTAGTTTTTTTTCTTTTATGTGATATGAAAGAATTGGTGGTATGAATGCTTACATTTTAGATATGTAAATACATAAGAATTGTGTGATATGCATGTAAATGCCCCATTTTTAATACTCTCAAATTATACATGTAATATATATATGTGACATGATGTTGTTAAAAAGGAAAAAAATAAAGAAACATATTACGTATACATCAAAATTGATCCACCAACTAGCAAGTTCCATAATTGAAGCACATACTAATTAACATTTTTTTATTTAATTACCACTACGACTCAACTCCTAAAAAAAAGTCCCAAGGTACATATTTATCAATTGAAAGAATCAATGGGGGAATAAGAAAAGTTTAAAATTTCTATTTTTTGCTTAAAACTCCCATGCAAATTGTATAATTACAAAAAATAAAATGCATCATTGAATTAGATTACATTACTCTATCTCAAATTATGTCAATGACATATGAGCACTCTCATTTTTTTCTCTTTTAATGTGTTTGAAGGTGAACTACATTGTATAATTACCGCACCTAGTCCGCACCTATCTAGGTGCGGTAGTTATAATTTTCTGATTGCAGTCTGACTTTTTCAAAAAAAATAAAAAATTTATAATAGTCACCACATCTAGCTTATCAACAGATTATTTTTAATCAGTTTATCAGCATATTATTCAATAAGCTGCAGCTGCCACAAACAGACCCTTAACTTTAGGTCCGGTGCATTATGTAAATTCTATTTTTAAAAGTGATTGAAATATGAATAAAATTCGCATAAAATCTTTATTAGTATATTTTATTTAATTTAAGATAAATAACCGAATTTTAATAATATTATCTTCTCATAATCGGATAAGATCCTCCCTTTGCTGTTTTAACAGATATTATTCTTTTATACCGACAGGACAAGCCATAACTTGAACTACAACCAGCGCTTAGGAAATAAAAAAAATATTACTGAAAATCAAATAAAATGCTGATTAACTTTTATTTAAAATAAAAAAAATAAACATGATATAATAGTCCACAGGAATGTTATAATAATATTTTTTTAATTCATTACTAATCTTTCGATAGTAATTATTAAAATAATACATAAAGTTCTTCATAGTATTTAAAATCTTAGCCTAACAAAATATCAATGAATTAAAAAATAAATATGAACAGAAATAGCATTTAAAACAATTCATCAGATTTTTTAGTCACACAATATCTTCAAAATCATTTGAAATTACTTGGAAATCTAAGAAGTCTTTGATAGCACACTACAGATTTAACCTAAATCAAGCCAAACACTAGAAAAAAAAAAATAATGATTTACTCCGTTGTTGCTCGCTTGCACCGTCTCAGTCGAGCTTGCAGGGATCTGATGAATCCTACTTAAGTAAATCAACGTCTCGGCCAAACACTGCCAGTGTATGTTTGATAACTAGCCATAAATTTAACATAAATTCAACCAAGCACAAAAAAAATCAAAATTTAAATCCAACTTTTCTGTCACTTCCCCGTCCCCTCTCTGTGTTAAGACATAAATTCTGACTTATTAAAATTTGATTACGAGACTTATTAAAGATTCATTTGGGAAAGCTTGTGTGTTTTAGGATAAGTAGTTTTTTCTATAACATGGTCCTCAGATCGACCCGCAACCTGTATTTAGTGTAAATATATAATCTTATTTTTAGATAAGCAGATAAAACACGCGATCTAAACGCCCCTCACTTGTAAACTGCCCTCAAACGGCTAACTCTGAGATAAATTTTATTTATTTAGCGTAAATCCGAAACAGCAGCCAAACACGGCCTAATAAAGTTATAACTAGCAACCGAACCAAACCTAAACATAAAAACCCCGATTACCGACCTCCGCCTCCCTCCACCTCCCACCCAAAATGTCCAACCCCAAATGTCCAACTCCGGCGCTTCAACCGCCGGCCTCAGCCCCGACGACTCCCCCGCCGCCGCTTTCAGCTCTGAAAAAATCGGAAAATTCGGTTACGGTATCGGCATCTCGGTCGGCATCCTCCTCCTCATCACCACCATCACCCTCATGTCATACTTCTGCACCCGCTTCTCCACCGCCGCCGGCTCCTCTTCTCCGCCCCACCGCGGCCGCGGGAGCCGATCCCAACGGCGACGATGAAGCGGAAAACGATATCGAGGCGGGGGTCGATGAGGCCACTCTCAAGAGTTGGGAAAAGGTGACTTTTGCGGAAGCCAAGCGGCGGGATCCTCGGGCGGGCGACGATGGCTGCTCGGTGTGTTTGGCTGACTATGGAGACGAGGAGTTGTTGCGGCTGTTGCCGGAGTGCGGTCATGTGTTTCATGCGAAGTGCGTGGATCCTTGGCTACGGCGGCACCCCACTTGTCCGGTGTGCCGGGCGTCGCCGGTGGTTAGTCCGCTGCCGACGCCGTTGGCCGAGGTGGTTCCACTTGCGGCGGCGAGATAGTTGCCGGAATATTTTATTGGCTTCTAAATTTAGGAAGTGAGATCAAATGCAACATAGTGATTTTATTTTGAGTTCTATGTTGTATTTTACAAGAAATTAATTGTAAGAAAATAATAATTTTTTTATATTTTGATGTGACATCGTCATAAGATATAATCTGATATGATGGTAAAAAGGAAATGTGTTTGCTCCTCTGAGCAGATTCTTCATAATGAACAATAGGTATTTGCAACTCCCTTTTTTTGTAATTGTTTGTTAATGCTGATATAAATGATGGGCGTGGCTCTCAGAGAAAATAGATAAAAAAAAAAGATAAATTGTCATCCTAACAATTAAATGTCAGAAAATTTACGTACAAACCAGTTAATTTCTTTGTATTTATATAATTAAAGCCTAACTTTTTAACTTTTACATACATGTAAGTATGATTGTAAAGGAGCGAAGTAGTGCTCGAGCCACTTTCGGCTTGAGCTGGAGCTCCGTTAATTTTATCAAGTTTGAGTTCAAGCTGGAGCTTAAGTCTATGAGTTTGAACATGCTCACGAGCTGAGTTTTTTATTGTAGAAGAGATAAATTAATATTAATTTAAGATAATATTATAATAAAATGAAAAATAAAATGAGCAAGAGAAATAATAAAAGATTACTTAATATAAAATACAAAGCATTGTTTTTTAAACAATTTTTATATTTTAAAGATAAAGTTTTTAAATTTAATATATTTTGAGTATATTTTATATTAATATTTTTTTAATGAGCCAGCTCATGAGCCGAGTCGAGGCTAGCTTAAGCTTGGTCATCGAACTTAATTTGCGAGCCATTTATTGCACTGAGCTCAAGCCAACTCACGAGTCTGCTTGACTCAAATATATTCTTACATGCTGCCTATGTGTGTAAAAAGTGTTATTTAATTTATTTTTCATTTAAAATATTGGTATTTTTTATGTGATAAGAAATATTCAGCTAATCTAAGTATAAAAATAAAGTTTAGATATTATGTATGATATAGGAATAGAGTGATATGTATGTAAATGCTCCCTTAAAATTAATTATAATACACCCTTTTTTATTTTCTCTTAAATTCCTAAAATATGTGTTGCCTAAAAATATCCAACCAAAGTGCCATCATAATTAGGGCCTGAATTTCCTTAAAATAGCTTCGTAATATCTAAATTATGTTTTCGATCCACACATAGTGAAAAGAGATTTGTAGAATGTCTGATCGGAGTTTGGTTACTGTTGAGGAATTAGGGCGAAGAGAAAACAAGAATCGACACAAATTCAGAAGAAAACACAAAGATTTAACGAGGTTCGACAAAAATGCTTACGTCCTTGCGAGCAAAGCGGCGACTTTCTTTCAATTTAGAAAAAGAGTACAAGATACCCTTACGGCTACAATACTTCACATATATATATCTTTGACGTACAATACGATTTACAAAATTAATCATGTACCGTACAGCAGGGGCGTTATCTCCGCACCCCCAACCCACATAATGTAACTCCCCCGATTGGATAAATGCTTACGCTCCACTCTACTCGCGAGCTCCACTACGCTCGCTCTCCCTGCTCTGCTGGCTCGCTCCATTCCGCTCCAACATCTGTCCCTTATCTGATATATATGAGCCATACCTACCGGTTGCAAAATTGCAATGAACACATTTTATTTTCAGCCAAAGAACATAAATATTTATAAATATTTAAATAATACTATTTACGAACATAAATGAATGAAACGACAAGTTGTGCAAGTTTATTTGTTTACTGATGGATGATGAACGTGCTTTAGTCAAACCTATAAATGTCTACAAATGAGTACTGCCCCGACGCAATTGAGTTCACGTAATTTAAAATTGACATAATTAAAATAATGCGGAAGAAAGTAAACTCTTTATGTTGATTTTAAGTGAATATCTTAATCTTTATTTTAATAACAATATTATGGGTCCTTTCTGTAAATTGGTGGTGGTATGAGTATCTATTCAAGAAGATAGATATTAGATAGAGGACAAGATTCACAATAAATTCTGACAGAATTATTTTATATTTTATTAATATATATATATATAATATATCCTAAAAAATATATATATGTCAGGCAAGCATGAATTTTGACAGGCATCTGAACTAACAGCATCAAAATTTAAATAAAAAATTACTTACACTGATTCAAGAAAAGTTTATTGATAATATGAGCTTGCTGACATCAAATGTGATTTGAACTACGCTTAGGGCTGTCAAAAAGGCTCGTTGTTCGCGAACAGCTCGTGTTCGGCTCGTTAATTTTGTTCGATAAGTTAACGAGCCGAACACGAACTAAGATGTGTTCGTTCATGTTCGGCTCGGTTCGGCTCGAAATTCTACTCATCAAGTTTATATATATATATATATATATTAGTATTTTAAAAAAATCTAATTGACTACAAGGTTACAAAGATTTATAATCAATTAAAATATTGATTAAGAAAATAGAATAAAAATTATTAAATTAGATTCAAATGATGTTTTAATATAAATAATAATTTTTAAATCTTGCTCAAACCCTTATTGTTTTGTGGCGACATGATTAGGGTTGTTCAAATGACTCTTTGTTCGTGAACAGCTCGTGTTCGGCTCGTTAAGCAAACGAGTCGAACACGAACACACTTTTTGAGCTCAAAATATAAACGAATTCAGCTCGTGTTCGGCTCGTTTACACCCCTAACTACGCTATCGTCAAACCACTATTGCACCACCGCTGTCATCATCGTTGCCCATCCACTGCCATGTTTCGTGCCTGACCACAACCATCTTTGTTGTCGGTACAACGTAGTCTTACTGCCACCGTTGCCGGACCACCGTCACCCGTCCATCACAGTCATCTCCTTAGCCGACGCCACAATCGAATACCATTGTCGCTACCACTAGATCACCACCATTAGAATGATGCCACTTCCCCTAACGTATTACGTAACTCTCCTAAGAAAGTCACTTTGTTAACCCCACTTATGTAATATTGCTCACAACCAGTCAAGGGTCTATAAAGTCTTGTAATCTACGTAAGCATAACATTTTAGATGTGCTATACCCCGTGATTTTTACCATTTAGGGGGTTTCACAAAAAAATAAAAAGGTGTTGTTCTTCCATTAAATTTTTTATTTTATCTGTGTGAGTGTTGGATCTTCATACAAAACTAAATGTCAGTATGTGATATTAGAAGTTATTGTTTGGAGATGAGTATGAAAATGTAGATAGTTCTCCTGCAAGTTTGTGAAGATTATTAAGATATATTACAATCTCAAGTTTAATGTCACATTATATAATTATAAAAATATATATTCAAATATAGAAAGTTACAATAAAAGATATGTGTAGGTTGCAATTGAGCCTAGTCAAGTATGTCATTATTTGAACTTGATTTGGTTGAATCATAAGCTGTTCATGTTCAATTCGAGTTTGAAACGAGCGTTCACATATATGTTCATGCTTGACGTGCTTAAAATTTTTAATATTCATACTTGATATGTATTTCACTTGTTTATATTAATTGAAAAGCCACAAACATAATCAAATATTAATCGAGTCGTGCATTAGTTTATTTATAGCCCTAAATATACGATCGAATATTTATTCTAATAAATCGGGTTTATCATGTTATTTTTACTTTATTCATGATTTGTTTATAAAAACCACTTGTTTTGTTCAAAGGAGAGAAAAATCAAACTAGGAATCTTGCGTGTGAGAAGTTGAATCCATTTTAATAGACATTAGCTCTTGGCAGTTTAATCCTGTCCTAATAAGTATCGACAACGGTTGTATATCATTTTCTTATCATTCAAATAGTATGGACATTTACTCTACTATTTAAATGAGAATAATTGTCCATCATGGCATCATTGTATCAAACTATCATAATAATAACTTCCAGCGTCAGTAATATGTGACGCCACTGTCAATAATAAATGAGGGCATTTACATACCTTGCATCTAAACTTTAACTTTTACATTAAAAATATGAAGTACACATTTTATGCATAGATAAGGTTAAATAAGTAAATACATAAAAATTGAGTGACATGTGAGTATATCTTTCTAAAAAATTTCAGTTTATTAGATTGTTAAACTGAAGGGAATAGACTTCATAGAACATATCAAGGGGTTTATATGGTTGAAAGGTTTCAAGTGAAACTGTAGTAATTTTGAAATTTTGGTGTTTGATGGCTTACAAAATTAAAAAAAAAAAAAACATTTGAGAGCTCTCATTGATGCCTATCTTTAAAAATTGGGTCATTTGTATACATTCCGCTCAATTCCTATATATTTATATATCTAACGCCCAACCTTTACTTTTATACGTCTGAACCATCTAATTTTTTTATATTACATCAAAAATGTCACTATTTTAACCTTTAAAAAGTAAAAAATAAAAACATTTTCACTCACATATAAGAGGGTGTATATATAAAAATTAAACCTTAGATATTAGACATTTAAATACATAAGAATTCAGCTGTATGTGTGTAAATCTTTCAAAACAAAAATTATTTTGATATTTTCTCCTTCACACATCACAAATCTGACCAACACCTGCCTCATCAAACTTCCACCGCGATCTCATCTCCATTGCATGATGTAGATCTCATTGAACATCTCATTGAAACCTATGCCAATGAGAGCCAGCAGGATTCATGTTCTCTTCTAATTCCAGCTCAATCTGTTTCACTCAACCCAATTTATTAGCCAAGTGGAATGCAAAGCTATTAAAACCTTCTAAAATTTAATCTAAATTGGCATACATCAAATACTTGTAAAAAATAATAATTTATTTTAGTAACATGAAATATAAAAAAATAAATAAATATTATTTTTGATAAAATTTAAAGGTATTGATAGGACAAAGAAGTAGGGCTGTCAAAAAAGTTTGTTGTTCACGAACAGCTCGTGTTCGGCTCGTTCGTTAAGTAAATGAATTGGATACGAACAAGTTTTTAAAGCTCAAATTATAAATGAGCCGAACACGAACAACTCTATGTTCACTCATGTTCCGCTCATTTGAGCTCGAAATAAAAATATTATAATTATTTATATGATAAAATTTTACATATATTATTTATATAATGATATATTATATATATTTATATATAAGTTTAAATTGTAAAACCTTGTGTGGTAAGGTGGTTATATTTCTTCTTTTACATACATTTGGTCTAGATTTGAACGCAA